CTATAATATTTGCCATATTATATTTACATTACCAAAGTGATATGACTTTAGTCTCATGAACAACATTAGCTAATTGTTATTTACTAACTAATCTTAAATGACTGTTCAGTACAGAAATGAAGCCCAACAATCATGTTTTACTGTCCTGTGGTCTCAGCCTCAGATACTTTGCAAGTGTTTTGGAGTTTGCAAGTGTTTTGGAGTTTGTACATGCTTTGTCTCTAGGGGCCACCGTACTGAACAAACAACTACACACAAGGACAAGAATTTACACCTACACTTTATCTTAAAATGCAAGTTACCAATAATAATTTATGAAAGAGTTATGTAACAAACAAAGTGTGAAACCTGATGGTAGGTGTAGTCCCATCCACCCATTTCCATGTCTGTTCTTTTTCTGCGTCAGTCAGTCCAATCCATGTCCGATTTTTAAACTCTCTTATGAAGTTCTTATTCACAGAAAAAGAAATGAACAATAATATAAAATACATCTGAGTTTTACACTTTTGTCTTTGTGTCTCAGAAACAGATTTTGCTCCTATATACTGTACCTGTTCCTCTCTGCTGTTGATAATCACCAAGTCTGCCCCTCTCTGCAGACAGTCCTCTCTGCTGTCATTCCAGGTGTTTTCAGTAGATGAAACATAATATAAACTGTGTTTGAAGTATATCCATCCTCGTTGGATATAGCGAGCTGCAAAGGACAGTAAAACTGAACCTTCAAAATTATGCTCAAGAAAATAACAAACAGCAATGTTAATAATGATAATACTGTTTAGCGTTACACTCACCTAATTCATTCATTTTAATGTCTTCTTCTTTAGTCAAGTTTTTAATAATGGCCTCACAATCTGGTGTTGTTGTTGTATCAGAACTGTCTGTAAGAGCAAACATTTCCTTAAGTAACTACACCACCAGAGTGCCACATGAATGAACCTGATTCAAGTTAAATTAATTGCAATTCTTCAAACTGTAACAGTAATTCTGTGTCATTCTGTTCTTATATTATTCAGATGGTGAATTTATGGTCACATTACAAAGAAAATGTAAATTGACTCACAAAAAGCCAGTCGCAGTGAAATGTTGAGTGTAGCTTGAAGAATACACAGAAGTGCAAAGCTCAAAGCAACCAGTCTGCAGAGTTTTCTTTCTGTGTGCAGGAATCAAACAGATAAGAAAATTACATTTATTGTCATTATATAAGAATGTACAACGAAAATTATGGTGCACTGCCAGGATATGGACTCATGCATAATAATAATACTATAAACACCAACATGAGAATAAAAAATGTCCATCCATTCGCTTCTGCTTATCTTTTTCAGGGTCGCGGGGGGCGCTGGAGCCTATCCCAGCTGTCATAGGGCGAAAGGCGGTGTACACCCTGGACAGGTCGCCAGTCTGTCGCAGGGCTAACACATAGGGACAGACAACCATTCACACTCACATTCACTCGCACATTCACACCTAGTGACAATTTGGATTAATCAATTAACCTATCCCCACAAGCTGCATGTCTTTGGACGGTGGGAGGAAGCCGGAGTACCCGGAGAGAACCCACGCAAACTCCATACAGAAAGACCCTGGCCTGATGGTGGAATTGAACTCAGGACCTTCTTGCTGTGCGGCAACAGTGCTAACCACCGTGCCACCGTGCTGCCGAATAAAAAATGTATTAAGGGATAAATAAAGAGGAAGTACAAATGGGTTTAGTGGTTTTCAGTTCAGTGTGGTTACATTTGTAGGGTAAGAACTGTTCAGGAATCATTTGGTGTGACTTTTTATGCATCTGTATCTCTTACCAGATGTGTATTAGCAGACTGATGAAAGAGCATTAGCTGGTGTGCTAAACCATAAAGATCTCTCACCACATATCCAAACCGATATCATGACCAGCAGCTTAACAGCTGTGGCTCCAGCAAACATCAGCTGATACTTGAAATTAATCTTAAATAAATTCTAACAACAGCTGATCAAGCTTAAACATGCTGCTGTTGTTTAACGCGACATCCGCTGGTTTCCTCTTTCTGGCGCAAAGTGGGCGATAAACAAGAGAGAAAAGCTGATCAGCTGATCATTGATCAGTTTCATATTCATTGAAGTAGAAACAGGAGAGGGAGGGGAAAGAATGAACGAAGAAGAGGCAGCTGACAGCGTAAAAACAGAATAATTCCAGCTTTGTGTTTTTTCCATCCTAGCTGAAGTACAGGACAAACTGTGTTCCTTTTCAGCTCAATACGAAACGCATAATATTTTCTCTGAATGCGGGACATTTCCGTCTTTTTACGGGACGGTTGGCAACTCTACTAACTAACCTTATGAATAAAATAAAGTTCACTATCAGTAACATCATAACACCCACCCAGCTGTATAGAAACGCCGTCATGCTAGCTAGTACGCAGTACAAGTTATTGTAACTGACGGTAAAAAGTCAGCACAACGAAAATAAACTCCACCTAAACTTGGTTCATATCTGACCCAAATAGACTGCAGGTCATAACTTCTTCCCTGAAGTTCAGTTCACCTGACACTCGGGCCAGCGGCCGCCTCAGGTCTCTCTTTCTCCTGCCTCCCCTTTCTCTCATCCACCTGCTGTCCTCCACCACTTGCTAATGTTACTGAATCTGTGGAAGCTCCGCGATAGCCACCACCAAACAACTGAGTTATTTTTACACACCGGCCAGCATCTGACCAATCCACCACCTTTCATTGTTTGTACCGTTACCGGAAAAAAAAAAAAAATCATCGGCCCATAAAAACTAAAAATCACCATCGGCCCTCCGGGCAAATGCCCGGTATGCCCGATGGCCAGTCCAGCTATGACTACACCTAAACTTGGTTTATATCTGATCCAGATAGACTGCAGGTCATAACTTCTTACCTGAAGTTCACCTGACACTCGGGCCAGCGGCCGCCTCGGGTCTTTCCTCCTCCTGCCTCCCCTTTCCCTCATCCACCCATCAGGTGGTTATTACTTGGACTGGGTGACATATTGTACAGAGCCCCGCAGGGGACATGGGAGGAAAAAAAATTAAGACGGACTTTTGCGAGATCTCGCAAAACAAACTCGGGATCTCGCAAAACAAACTTGGGATCTCGCAAAACAAATTCGGGATCTTGCAAAACAAACTCGGGATCTCGCAAAACTTTTGCGAGATCTCCCAAAAGTTTTAGCCGCATTCTTCCCGTTAGCTCGAAGTTAAGGGAGGTTTAATACAGCCGGGAGGAACACCGCTTTCCCGGCACATCGTGCCTTGACCTCCCGGTCGGCTTCAAGCCAGCGTCCGAAGTATGCGGCTAAAACTTTTGCGAGATCTCGAGTTTGTTTTGCGAGATCTTTCAAAAGTTTTGCGAGATCCCGAGTTTGTTTTGCGAGATCCCGAGTTTGTTTTGCGAGATCTCACAAAAGTTTTGCAAAATCTCGAGTTTGTTTTGCGAGATCTCGCAAAAGTTTTGCGAGATCCTGAGTTAGTTTTGCGAGATCTCGCAAAAGTCCGTCTTCATTTTTTTTTCTCCCATGTCCCCTGCAGGGCTCCGTATTATTGAGATTTTTAATACATTGATATATTTTTAGACGAGATATGAGATGTGAAGATATAGTCTATGTTACGTTATAATTATACTTGTGGAGCTGCAAGTTTGTCTCTCTTTCATCCACTATTGTCTCTACGCAAAGTTACTCTGCCTCGCCTCTCTCCTTCACTGAACACAACTCCCCCTCTCCCATTGCTTCACCTGCAGGCAACGACAAGATGGACACAGAAGCTATCAAAGAGGACAACACGTTAGCGTTGCGGTTAGCGTTAGCAGTTAGCCCGTTAACGCATTGGTGGCGTGCAGCTAGCAGTACTAGTGTTTTCACCATTTACAACAGCGCCATAAAGTGCAAAATAAAAAGTGTGTGAAACTGTATGCTGTATCCCAGACTGCGAAGTCTCCCAACCTCCTGCCCCGAAACAAACTACCTTACAAAACTCGTATACTGTATTTTTCCAACTATAACCTTACACTAAAATCTTTTCATTTTGTCAAAAATCGACAGTGCGCCTTTTTTATGAATTCTGGTTGTGCTTACTGACCGCGAACTGATTTTATGTGGTACACGGCAGGCAGCAATCTGTCAAAAATTGTTTTAGTGCGACTTTGGTAAGCTGCGAAGGTGCACTGCTTGATGGATTGTGGGAGCATTACAGCTGCGGTAGTCAGGAGCCTTGCAGAGTAATGTTACCGTAATAATACCATATTGTGTGTGTGTATTAGGACCACAAATGGTACCTGTTAAGAGACACGGTTACGAAGCAGATTTCAAGCTCAAGGCTGTCAGTCGCGCAGTAGAACTTGGGAACAAAGCAGCTGGGAAATCTGTCTGTCTTTGTTATTATGCTCAGCGTATTTTTAGTTTACATTTTGACGGCACAATTGTGAGCTTTTTGTTATGCACAAAAACAACATTGTTTTACTTTATTTATGGAGCATTATTATTTAATAATTGCTGATAATTTATTTCTGACCAATTTTTTTGATGTACATCTGCGCTGTATGTTAATAAAAGTGCCTGTGTGAGATCTGGGACACAGCATGACTGAGAACTCTCTTTTTGTTCCTACTATATGGCTTTAAAGAAATATCAAGATATATATTGTATATCGCCATCCAGCTAAAGGATATCGAGATAGCCCTAGTTATTACACATCAGCCAGCATCTGGCCAATCCACCACCTGTCATTGTTTATACTGTTCGAAAGTAACAAAAAAAAGAAAGAAAAAAAGAAAAGAAAAATCATCGGCCCATAAAAACAAAAAATGACCATCAGGCATACCAGGCAAATGCCCGATGGCCAGTCCAGCTATGGTCGTGCCATCAGTTAACCCTTCGCGTGCCAGCTGTGGCATGCGTGCTCAGGGTTGCCGACCCCTGTTCTAGGAACTACAAGTAAGCCTGCAGTCTGAGAGTGAAGTGCTCTACTGGGGTCCTATGGCACTATTTATTCTTGTCTGATTATTTAAGACCGTGTATGCGGGGAGAAGGATTTTGAATTAGATTCTGGAATAAACAGGGAGCCAATGAAGGGAAGCCAATATATGAGAAATATGCTCTCTTTTTCTAGTCCCTGTCAGTACTGTTGCTGCAGCATTTTGGATCAACTAAAAGCTTTTCAGGAAGTTTTTAGGATATCCTGATAATAATGAATTACAGTAGTCCAGCCTAGAAGTAGTAAACGCATGAACTAGTTTTTCAGTGTCACTCTGAGACCAGATGTTTCTAATTTTAGTGATATTAGGCAAATGGAAGAAATCAGCCCTACGTATTTGTTTAATACCTGCACTGAAGGACAAAAATGACTCCAAGGTTCCTCACAGTGTTCCTGGAGGCCAAGATAATGCCATCCAGAGTAAGAATCTGTTTAGTATGGAAGAGGATTAGGGACACCGGAAAAAAAAAGTGGGCATATCTTTTTTTCTTTTCCAGAATTCTGAGAAAAATGTCAGAATTCTAGAAAAGAAAAAACAGACGTGCCCACTTTTGTCCCCCGGTGGCCTCAGTTTTAGCTGAATTTAGAAGAAGAAAGCCCTGATATTGAGTTCTTTAAAAGAAGAAACTATTCAATATTTTATAATTATTAAATAAAATTATTACATAATTTTAATTGTGTTAGTGGTTGAAAAAATAAACTTTGAATGCAGTTTATTCCCTAATCGTTTGTTTAAAAAAATAAAAAATCCTCCACCTGATTCCAAGAATATCTACCAAGGTGGGGTTTTCAGTGCAAACTCATACTTGAAACTAGAATAAAACATACGACATTGACAGCATGAAAATCTTCTAAATAAATTGAATTACTTACTACCGGTCGAAGTATCAGCTCCATTTTCACAATCCATGTCAGATTCGTATTTAAGAACAAACTTATTTTGCTGTGGTATGGCAAAGGCATATAGTGAGAAAATGCAGAACTAATCAATAACCTCATCTACCTTTCTTTCTTCCGTTTATGACAACATCGGCAGGTTTAAGCACACAGCTTCCTGTACACAGAATACATCTACCCCTTCTCCCTTATCAGATCAACTCAGTTTCCAATTTCCACTAAGATAAAAACATTCATATATATCTACTTTTAAATATGAGACGGCATGCTGAGATAGTTTACTAGTTTTTATTGTACTCAACTACTCCCTTTACTTCAAGTAAGAGACAGCTGCCTTGGTAGAATGTGCAGGAGGCAGGTACAGGACATCTACTCACTACCTCGCAGTGATTTCTGTGGACAGTTACTTATTGGCACAACTGGACATCATTTGAACATTATACTAAAAAGCTGGAATGTTAAAACCTGAGTAAAAACAGCTTATATTTTAGGGGGCTACCGTGGTGTCATCAGCAAACTTGATGAGGTTGTTGTTGTGGGCCAAACTGCAGTTGTGGGTGTAGAGGCAAAACCTCTGTTTTTATAGAAGTGCTCTCACTAACTAATGATCAGTTATTTAAGTGCATTTGAATAGTAGCACGTAGCTGTTACCTATAGTCTAAACCTATAGTCTGTAACAGGGGTGGGCAATTCCAGGCCTCAAGGGCCGGTGTCCTGCAGGTTTTAGATCTCACCTTGGGTCAACACACCTGAATCACATGATTAGTTCGTTACCAGGCCGCTGGAGAACTTCAGGACATGTTGAGGAGCTAATTTAGCCATTTAAATAAGCTGTGTTGGTTCAAGGACACATCTAAAATCTGCAGGGACACCGGCCCTCGAGGCCTGGAGTTGCCCACCCCTGGTCTATAAGGTGTACAGACCTGCATAGAGTTCATAGTCATATATAAGATATGACATACACATACAAGCATCCAATCACACTTCCATACAAAGGTTGCTGAGTTCCACAATGGTCCAGGATTATTAAAACAAAAGGAAAATGTTTAAACAACATAGTAACCTATAAAAAATTTTCTGCATTTTTTTTAAACAAATCACCAATAAATCTGATCTAAAGGAATGAAAAGTTTGTGCTATATAATATAAAGTTCTTTATAAGAAAACTGAAATCCAGTCCTTTTCATGTGATATACAGTTTATTAGTAAAAATGGCTGATTCAGAACGGCTTTGCCAAATTTATCTGAGGTTACAGTGCTAACCACAGCAAGAAGTTTACTTAATGAGTAACACATCAAAGTACTCTGCCTGCCACATTGTTGTCTTGGCAACAAAATATTGTTACAATTGTTATTATTTAGTATGTAGTAGTACGCTAATACTGTCTTACAGAGAAATAAAGTTCAGTTGGATATCTGCAAACTATATACAAACATGACTTTTTAGCTAAAACTGGTAAATGCATCTTAATATAACCATGTTAGTTTTACATAGTCAGAGGTTTTCTTGTTCACACACTTGAGCAGTTTTCACTGTTGCAGTAATTTATTAATACACAGCAAAGTCCCTGACTTGTCCTTCTTTGTAAAAGAAATTTCACAGTGCTGCTAACTCTTGTTGGCTGCTGGGAAAGTGCATTAAGGGAGATGTTCACAAAAACAGGAAACATGTGGCAACGCAACATATTTCCTGTTATTGGTTGTGCATTAATATACTTTACAGCCATTATCCTTATGTTTATGCAATTTCTATGGTCAGAATAATTTTTTAATCTCTTGAATTTGATTTTAATGTCCATATTTGTTTGAACTTGCATGCATAATGATAAGCCGTTTTCCCTGTAGCTTAAAATACTAGTCCGATAGCCAATTACAGATCCACAATCTTTTCACAGATCCAAAAGTTTTCACTCTGTCATTCCATTTGTTTTCATCTTTAATGATCTTCATTTCTCCACAGTCTTCATCTCGGCCATTATAACTGTTGGGCTCCCCGTTGTGCCATCTGAAACTAAAGAATCAGCTTTTTTCACGAAATCAGAGATGCATATCAACAACTTATAAACAAACAGGAACTGCTAATAATCACCAGATCTGCGTCTCGTTGCTGAAAGTCCTCTCTACTGTTGTTCCAGGATTTTTTAATAGAAGAAATGTAATAAAAACTGCCCCTGAAGTACACCCATCCATGTTGGAAATCCGTTTGAAAATGTTAAAAAATAAATTCTTACACAGAAATAACTGAATAATTAAATAATTACAGGGACCAAAGTGATAACAAGAATGAAAAAAAAAACCATTTAACATTTTCAACATCATACTCACAAAAAAGTATTTCACATCCTTTTTGGTGCATCTGCTCTTGTATCAGAATTGTCTGTGAGAACAAATAAACAATTTTTATTGTTGGATGGGAAAGGATGACAAACTTTTCATTTCAGTTAGCTTCATTTGTTCAGATATTTTACTGAGACAAAGCACATTAAGTACAGTTATGAAAATGTTAGGGTCGCAGGCTGGTTTGGGATGTCCCTGCATGTTTCCTCTGTTCTTAGTTGTATGTGGTCAGGCTTTGTTCTAGTCTCCAACTGCTGCTGGAGTTGCATTAAGAATCCTTCTTGTTATTAAACTAAATTCATCCATCCATCCTGGCAGGGCCTGGAGCCTGTCCAAGCTATCATAGGGCAAGAGGCTAACCCCAGTAATTCCATATCTTTGGACTGTGGGAGAAGGCCAGAGTACCAGGAGAGAACCCATGCAAACACAGGGAGAACATGCAAACTCCACACAGAAACACCCCAGCCAGATGGTGGAGTCAAACTCTTCTTGCTGTGAGGCAACAATGCTAACTACTCAAAGGAGATTGCAAAGAAAAGCGTCTGGACTTCTTTAAGTTACTTGAAGACGTTTCACCTCTCATCCGAGAAGCTTCTTCAGTTCTAAGGTCAAATGGTGGAGAGTGGTGATCTTTGTGATCAACGAAGGCTTTTACAGACAAAAACATGGCTGTGCCATGGGCTCCCCCGTGTCACCTATTGTAGCCAACCTTTACATGGAGGAAGTGGAAAGGAAGGCTCTTGGCTCTTTCAAAGGAAGAGTACCCAGCCACTGGTACAGATATGTGGACGACACCTGGGTCAAAATCAAGACACAAGAAGTGGAATCCTTCACTGCGCACATTAACGCTGTGGATAAAAACATCAAGTTCACCAGGGAAGACACAAAGGACAACTGTTTGCCTTTCCTGGACTGCGCTGTGCACATTGAAGAGAATGGCAACCTCAACATCGAAGTTTACCGGAAGCCCACACACACGGACCAGTACCTCCTGTTTGACTCCCATCACCCTCTGGAACACAAACTTGGAGTAATTAGGACCCTACACCACCGGGCAGAACATGTTCCCTCTAAGCCTGAAGGGAAAAAGAAGGAACACACACATGTAAAGGAAGCATTCAAAACGTGCGGCCACTTCACAAGTGCATGGCACAACACAGAAGAGCCACCTCCACAGGACAAGTCTCAGCCGTCCATCTGCATCTTAAGGATAAAGGACACTCTTTCGAGGATGCCAATGTTCACATTTTGGACAGAGAGGACAGATGGTTTGAAAGAGGAGTGAAAGAAGCCATCTATGTCCACTGTGAGCGACCATCTTTGAACAGAGGCGGTGGTTTACGACACCAACTCTCTGCCATCTATAATCCAGTTTTGAGTTCCCTTCCCAGACGCCTTAACGCCCACTCACATCCTGGGCCATCTGATCTCAGGAATTCGCATGATAAGGTGGGGCCAGGTTTCACAATGAACTCACCCGAAACTCTGGCTGATTGGGACCCACACCCAGTTTCACACCTTGGCTCAGGCGATTAGAGGATCATCAGGGGGTCCTTTTGTCCCTCTGGGGGGGGATACTCCCACTAGGTTTATATCTGGGACTCTCCACCATTTGACCTTAGAATTGAAGAAGCTTCTCGGATGAGAGGTGAAACGTCTTCAAGTAACTTAAAGAAGTCCAGACGCTTTTCTTTGCAAGCTCCTTTGACTACAATTACCTGGATGACTGAGAACCTTCACAGACAATGCTAACTACTGCACCACTAATACTAATGCTTAAAATAAAAGCAACCTCAGTTACAGCAGTATATCGGCATAGTTTTAAAAATTGCAGTAAAGGAATTATAAAGTAAGACAAGTATTTACATTAGAGTACAACATTATATGACATTATTTTATTTGACTCTTGTATATTTGATATGGAGCCAATACTTCAAATGATTGGAAATATAGAATCATGTGTTTCTTATTTTTCATTAGTTACATCGTTCTATATAACACTGTAAAGTCTTAGCTTTAAAGTCTTAGCTGCCTTGAGATGACATGTTTTATATCAGAGGGTGATATACAGTAAATAAACTTAAATGAATTACATTACAGTTTGAAAAATTGTAATCCTTTCTCAGTTTTGCACTATTTTGTTTTAGTTTTTATATTATGTTTTTCATTATTCCGATGGTGAATTTGTATCCTGCTGCTGCTTCAAGATGTTCAAGCATTTTGGGTTGTTTATGAGTGAAAGGAGAGTGGAGCCCAATTTTCATTGCTTCAGTTTTTAAATAGGAAATGCTTTCTTCCTTTCCATGTAATACATTACACTTTAAAACTGATCATTTTCAACAGTTTTCTGTTTTATCTCTGCAACATCTTTAACACTTGACAGCAGTTCCAGTCTTGAGGATTCCAGTCTTATCCTCCGTTCAGTCTCCAACTTCACCACCGTTGTCATCACAACCATTATTTCAGTCACCTTCAGTTCAGCCTCCTGTTCAGCAGCCACCAGCCCTGCATCCTGTGTCAGTTGCTTCACCTGTAAAACAATACAAGTCAATTCTACCCGAAAGACACTATTCTTCGCCCATCCATTCCAAGCAGAGAGACAAATCTAATAATAATGTCAACATTCCTCAAAGGCTGGCCAGTTCTGAGACTGAGATGCACTCCAGGGCCTCCCCAGAGGCTGGGTTTCAGCCCCCATCAGACTCTGGACCCCTGGAGTTTAAGAAGCCAGCTGAGGATTGCACCCGGCTGTCGCTGCCTGAGCAGGGTCAATGCTCTGCGCAGCTGCAGGCCAGAGGCCTGTGTTTGCCAGAGGCCCGTGTGCCTGCTGGTCCTGTTCTGTCCCTGCCAGAGGCCCGTGTGCCTGCTGGTCCTGTTGCGTTCCTGCCAGAGG